TCTCTCTCAGATGTCTTATATGGCAGTCCTCTCATGTGAACGGTATGGCGACCGGCGAATGGCATCGCGTTGTGTGGCTGTTGTGATGGGTATGAGTCGTATGTGTGGCGACCGCCATATCCGGGACGACCTGAATGTTTGAACCAATCGTTTAGTCATTTGTTACGAATCAACGAAACAAACATTTGGTGAATACCTCTGAACTCCATGTCGTCGTAATCGTAGACACGTCTGGAAGCGCCGGGAGGGGGCGGTCCGCGAGAGGCGCCCGTAATTGGAGGCCCATAACCACCGCCATTACCATAAGGACTGCCGCGGAATCTGTTGGGATACGGGACAGGGCGTGAGGGGTGTCCGTAACGCACCTTATGGTAGGGATAGGAAGGAGGCGACGAGTGGCCGTGCGGTGGGGGTCCATACGAGCCCATGGCGTCGCGACCATACGAGCCTCCGTGTCCGCCGCCACCACCACCACCGCCCGGGTATGGCTTGGCATCCATGTACGACCTCACGGCCCGGAACTCTTGGAATGAACTTTTGAATATCTCAATGTACCTAAACATACAGCACCTGTCAGTCAAAGCGCTCATACATTGCATAGGAATTTGTGTTTCAAAAGCACTGATTGGGGTTTCCTTTCAATTGGCATTTGCACTGAAAATTAGCGTTAGTTTCGCACATATTGTGCATACAATTCGTAAGGAAAGGTAACATTTTCACTGAGCTGTTGATCAGTCAGAAGGTTAGCCCCTCCGGCCGTCAGAACAAACCCAAAGCGTAGACTGAATGGCAATCCCAATGGTATAATCCCGGTGCCCGAGTGCCCACCTGTGCCCAATTTTTTCCTTGTGTTTGGTCATAGCCTTGTCTGCAATATCTCGGGAAGCAAACTGTATGTATGCCTCCCCTGTGCTGCGACCCGTATGGTCTGTCGGCAGTACGATCCCATCCATCACTAATTCCAACCCTTTATATAATAGGGATTTGAGATTTCAATTAACATTACGGTATCACTATTAGCCACAACAACTTACGCCCAATTCATATACAGTA